TATTTCTATTAACTATATATTAAACACTGCAGTGCTGGGACTTTAGAATAAAGAGTGACGCATGCTTTTTAAAGTCAGTGGACGCTGTGGGGGGATGAGACTGAGTTGGAACTGGCCTCACTCTCCTTCTCCCCACAGTGAGCTCTGTGGGAGGAGTGGAGACAGCAGGGCCCCATGCTGCACACCCTCGGCCACCAGTCTCTTGGGCTCTCGCTTAGCTGGCGGGACCGCAGAATAGGGCAGGAACTGAGGGGCAGCTCTGTGGACTGTTGTGTAGATACCGTGGCTTTTACTCCCTCTCCACACCCCACGTCTAAGAAATAAAGTGATGCTTCATTTCCTCATCACTGTGATGAACTAGAAGCTAATGTAGAATTTTTTCTTTCTAAATGAGGTTTTCCCTCATACATAAATTAGTTGGAAATTAATGTATTAAAATTGACTCCTGTGCACCAAATTATATTACTTAACTTGCTAATTAGATCATTTAATTGTTATATAAACAGTTAAATGGTAAATGGATAGAGAAAATGTGAGAAATGCGTAGGTACATACTGTACACACATGTACACACACATGTATGTTGTGTGTGTTTGCAATGTGTGACACAATTCAGCTTTTAAAAAAGTGAATTCTGCTACTTGTAATAAGCAGTAAGAACCTATAGAACATTATGCCACCTAAACTCATCCAAAATGAAAAATCAGCACCGTGTGATTTCATTTGTGAACAGCTAAATATGTACAAGTGAAGAGTAGATGCTGGTTTCCAGCGGCTGGGTGGGTAGACACCATTTAGTGTCAGGAAGACAGGATCCAAAACTGGAGGTCTGCATGAGTAATCGTGCATTTCAGAAACATCTCTCAGAAGACCTTAGATGTCCTTGCCGTGCATGCAAAGTAATGGTATGTGAAGTGGTCGATATTGTAGTAAGATTGGTCGAATCATTTTGCAATATGTTTATAAATCAAGATATCCTATCACATATAGTAAATCTATACAATTTTTATTAATGAAGCAAAACCTTGTATATCTGGGAAATAAAAATTATAAACTAATTTATTTATGATAAAAGAACAGATGTAAAACTTTTTCAGTATACAACACTACTATTTGAGACTGAGAATTTGTAATGCAATTCCGATACAGATCAAATTTTGTTGATTCTTAGTATTTAGCCATACAACAGATTTTTACTTGATTAAAAAATCACAACAAAGAAGTGACTATTAGTCTTACACACACACACACACACACACACACACACACACATCCCTGCACAAGTCTCACATCTGCCCACTTTCTAACAGGGATAAACTTGTGGGTCATTACTTTATATAATTTATATAATGTGTTTGTATTAAATTAACATATAACTGAACAGCGCATCTCAACTAGTCATGCTAACTCTGTTTAAAGATCCAGCTGTGCATTTAAACCTCTAAAAGCTTTTCTTCAGTTGTGTGTGTATGTGCTTGTGTGTGTATGCAGGAGTGTTGAGACAAAGTTAAGAAGCATTTTTCCTACTGGATCTTACAAGGATTCATAGTAAAGCCACACTATCATTACTGAGTGGAAAGTTTCTCATACTTAACCTTTAGAGCGTTTAACTTAGTTCCAAACCACACTCACAGTTTGCTGCCTTTTTCTGCTCTTGCCTATGTTTTCCAGTAACAGATTTGTTTAAAAGATTGTTTGAACTTTTAGATCCACATTTTACCAACAACCAAGTCAATTTTTTCCATATATTGTAAACAAACTCTACTTGGAAAGAATCTCTCAATTTCAAATTTAAGGAAACCATAGCTTTTCCTAAAATTGTACAAAACAGGCAAAATTTAGATGAATGCAAAGTAAAACAAAAAGTAACAACAGGAGGCTCTTCTGCTAACCATGCTCATTAGAGATTTACTTTTACTCCATCTTTTAACATGGCAGAGCACGTGTATCGCGTACTTGTCACTGCTTTACCTCCCTCCTGGAAAGAGCGGACAGTCACCTTCAGATTGCTGTCCCCAACCTGCGCAGTCACTAGTGGAACAGGAATGCCTGTGCAGTTGACCTCTAATTTATTTAACTTGCTGAATGTTTGTGTTATATAATGTTTAAATGCACATCTCATGTCCACTAGTCCAGCTGACTTTCTAAAGATCCGCTGTCTTGTTTAGCCCTCTACGCATTGTCTTCAAGTGTGAAACAGAGAGAGTGTTGAGTAGTAATTAAGAAACTTCTTTTCTGCTTGTTAGAATTCCTAGGAATAGTGCACTGTCATCACTTGAACAGAAACTCTCTCATAACTAATCTTTGGGGAGATGGACATCAGACTACACCATCCTCCATAATTGTAATTTATTGTCTTCTTCTATTCTTGCCTATGTTTTCCAATAACAGATTTCCTTGGAAAATTCTTTTAATTTTTGTGTCCACATCACGTCGATAGCCAATCCAAAATCTATTTTTGAGGTGGGTGTAATATATGGACTAACCAAAAACAAGAATGAGTTAATTAGATAGCTGCAGGATCAGGTGTAAAACTTAGTAAAATTCAGGTGGTCTCTCAAAGGCTTTAACAGAGACTGTGACCCAAGAAATTAAATGGATATATTGTGTTTGCTACGAGAGGCCAGAAAAGTAACAAGCAAGGGAATCATTACAGAATAAATGAATGTATGTTCCCAGGCATTCTTCATTTAGAAATGGCTAACACTGAGCATAAAATTAAACTTAAGCAGAGGAGGGCCTATAAGTATTCTCTGCAAAACACAATCTTCTAGCTGAGGTTAGTGTTAATTTTTACTAAAACGAGTCTACAAATTTAGAAATCTATTATCTGGTGCTATTTAAAAATCTTTTCACCTAGCACCTTGTTATTTTCAACAGAAACAAACACAATCCTTTTGTTGCATACATAATAAATGTAGATGTATGCAATCCCTACTGCAATCTTGTAAAATACTACTGTATTTACTTTATATATTTCTTCTCACTATGTCATATGACAAAGACTCATTAAAACCACAAAGTGATCAAGTGATTTAAGAATAATCTAGCCATCAAATTCACATTGAAAAAACTAGGTCCTAATTTTTAGAAAATTGGGTTTGACTAAGGATTTGAGTCTGGCCTTCTGATTCTAATCCAGTGTTGTTTTATTTTTCCCCAAGAAGAAAACATTTTGTCAGGGTCATCCACTAGCCAAAACAATGACTATGAGATCAAGATAAGATGGCAATGTATAATTATATTTGTAAGATGGAGATGCTTTGATCACCTTAGTGGTAATGTAGATTTAAACAAAAGCTACTCATAGATAGCAGCTGGAAATGAAAACAAACAATTCAGAAAACACAACACCACTGGCGTGACTGTTGGGACAGTTGTGCTGGAGACGTGGATATATGATTTAGGTGACCATAGTCTCACTCCTAATTAATATTTGCTACTTTTTAAATTTTATTACATTGCATATAAAACTATAATGAAATTTAAGACTCAGGAAGAAAGCAAAATTCCTAGGTGCAGATGCTTTTAGCATCAAAGGTCTTCACAAAAAAATGCAAGGGAATAAAAATGATGCAAAACTTCAGTTTTTATTTTATTTTATTTTCGGTAGAAGTGTCTGTCAGGACTCACCAAAGGATTTTGTTTTTTGTAAGAGCACAAATGATTCCTTCATTAGAAAGAGAACCCACTACTCCTTTGGCAGTTACTTGAAGAGGAGAAATTCTAAGAGGAGCTATAATTGCAATTTAAATGTGCACAAGACATCATAACTACTACAGCCAAGTAGCACCATGGATGATGTTCAGGGTGAGGAAGGAGCAGCGGACAGAGCTCCCTCACTATCCCTCACTTTGTTCGCTCTTGGAGAGGGATCAGTCACTTCCCACCATGGGGATAAGATACCTGACCACACAGCCTGAAGAAGATGTGCACTTGGCTCAGAGTCAGAGGCTCAGTCCATGACTGGCTTGCTCCGTGGCAGAAACAACATCGAAAGGGCATGGAGACAAGCTGCCCCACTTGAGGCAGGTAGGACACAAAGAGAAGGGAGGACTGGGTGACCAGAAAACACCCTCCCAGGTCACACCCCGGTGGCTACCTCTGCCACCCAGGACCGCCTGCTAAGAGCACACTGAGCTTTGAATTTGTGCGTGGGTCAATCCAATGATGCAGTATGGAGCTTCACAATCCAATCATCTTCCAAAAGCCCCACCTCTGAACTCCCGAGGCGGGGAGGGGAGGGGGGTTTAGATCTAAGCAACGACAGAGGGCTGCATTGAAATACACTGCCCGGATAAGGAATTCCTCAAGAGAAAAATTAATTCGGAAAACCTAACTGAAACATTATTGATTGAGGAAAAGAGATAGGAAATTCTGAACAATGAAGAAATAGCAAATCAAGAATTAATCATATATGTAGAAAAAATACGAGAACAGCAGATTAATGATATTTAGAATGACAAATTCAGAAATAAAATGAGAACGATTTAAAACTTTTTAGCCTGAGGCCCTAAGAAAATAATGTCCACAGAACTGAAATAGGGAGGGTAAATCAGTCTGATACTGGGGAAAAGGAATAAGTAGATTTAAAAATCTTGTAGATACGGTATATCCAGGAAAATAAGGGGAAGAGAAAGTCAGAAATTCAAGCCAAGAGCCTTCGTATGAGGGTGATGAGAGAGAGCTTAGAATACTATAGTAAGTAAAGCTTAGGGAAAGCATACATGTTCACAGATACAGTGGGTAGAAGAACTCTTTAAACCGCAGTTTTCATGGTCCCATCTGAAAAAACATCAGTGCGGGAGTGTTTCTGTTGGAGGAGCATAACAGATCGCCGCTGTGAAGGATTAGAGAGAAGAGCGGGAAAGCTAAAGCAGTGTGGGAGATGCCTGGGGTTCCCCAGGCCCACAGCGAAATAGCAAAGGAAGGAAAGGAAGGTGGAGTGGCCGTGGCTTCAGTAGCCAGACATGGAGCTTCTGAGGGGCCGGGTGTGTGCTTCAGTAGGATCTGTGCTTTCGCCGACAATACAGTTTCTGCAGAGCAACCTTCATGTCTTTGTTCCTCAGACAGTAGATAACAGGATTCAAGGTAGGGGTGAGGATGGAATAAAAAATAGACGCCAGGCGGCCTTGGGTTGGGGAATACTGAGAGGCAGGCCTCAGGTACATGAAACTTCCAGTTCCATAAAACAAAATGACTGTGGTCAGATGCGAGGAGCAGGTGGAGAACGCTTTCCACCGTCCATCCCCAGAGGGGATGCGCACGATCGCAGAGGTGATGCCCACATAGGAGAGGACCGTGAGGGCAAAGGAGCTCATGACGACGCAGCTGCTCACAGCGAAGCCCACCTCCTCGTTGAGGCGGTAGTCAGCGCAGGCTAGGCGCATAACAGGGGGGATGTCGCAGAAGAAGTGTTCCACGACGTTGGGTCCACAGAAGGGCAGGGAGAAGGTGTTCGAGGTGTGGAAGGCGGAGTAGATGGCCCCACTCACCCAGGCCATGGCAACCAGTTCCGAGGAAAGCCTCTCACTCATGGTGGACCCGTAGAGCAGGGGCTTGAGGATGGCCAAGCACCGGTCGTACGCCATGGCCGTGAGCAGAAAGCACTCAGTGGAAGACAGGGTGATGAACACGTAAAGCTGAGCCACACACTCCAGATAGGAAATGAGCCCAGAGCCTGTGAGGGAGGTGACCAGCGCCTTGGGGATGGTGACCGAGGTGTAGCACATGTCCAGGAAGGAGAGATTCTTCAGGAAGAAGTACATGGGCGAGTGGAGACAGCTTTCTCTAAACACAGCTGTGATGATGGAGATGTTTCCCAGGAGCCCAAATAGGTAGGCAAACAGGAAAAACAAGATGACTACAAATCTCAGTTCCTGGGCATCCGAAAAGCCCCTGAGAATGAACTGAGTCACTCCTGTTTGATTGGACATTGTTCCTTCACTTTGCAGGTCGGTTCCGATGCAGTGGTCGCATACAGCAGTCCTGGGAACAGAAACAGACCAGCTTGAAGGGTGTCTGTCTGTGGATGTCTGCAGCTGCATGATGATGCCTATCAATAGAAAAGTAAATCCCACGTAGCCCCTTATTTAAATGATTATATTTCAGTGAATGGTGATGATTCTGATAATCAACTTGCACCATATAATCCACGTCAACTGGCCTAATGTTGTTGGATCTGGATTACTATGATGAGGAGGGAGAGGGTGATGGCAGAGGGAGCGGGGGAGAGAACAGAGACAGAAACAGGAAGTAAAGAGGTTTATGAGCAGCAGGAGGAAGAGGAGAAAAGGAAGAAAAAGAAAAGGAAGGGGAGAAACCAGCCAGTTTTCTCCCTTTTACATTTTGGATAACTTGAGGTGAGAACTGGCCTCGTGTATTTACGCTTCTGCATGTTAACACAGTTCGACATTAATTCCATTGATGATGCTCCACAGAACGGTGCTGTGCCTTCACCCATCTCCTCGCTGACACCCTAGCTTCCCATAGGCTTTGTGGCTCCGCCTAACAGTTTTCTCCTCCTGATTACCTTCTCCCCGACTCTTCCTCACTGTGTCAGTTCCTCTGTCCTTTCCCCAAAATACTCTAAGTTCTCTTTATTTTGACTAATCTAAAAGTAGTTCTACTGTAATCTGTCGAAAATCTTTTAAACAAATATGCTTAATGTAAAAAAAACAAAAAAAAAACTTTTTAAGACATGAATGCCAATCCCTATACCTAGGGAATGTAATTTTGCTATTTTTCCTTATTTTTTGCAGGTATGTTCTTTATGAGCAGCAAGAGTGCTTTGTTCTTTATCCACAGAGATTGTCAGGACCCAGTGACTACTGTGCACTCAGTAGACAGCAGACAGATGCTTAAAACTGAAAGCAAGGCTCTGTGAAGATTCCCTTCAGACTTCAGTTCACAAATGGTCCTGTGAGAGACTCCTGGAACTTCCAGTCCAGAATGGCCCACCTCCTGTATATGAACATACATGAATCCTCCAAATTCTTGTCTACATTGTAGTCTGTAACATACTGGTAATTTTCATAAAATGCTACTAAATTTATGGACATCTAGCTGCTGATTTGAGCGCTACCTTTTCTACTTTACTCACAGCTTGACAGGAGACATTTCCCAATGTGCGGCAGGACTAAGGAGCCAAGGCTCCCATTCCTACATTCAATTCTCAAATCCCCCAATTATATTAATGACCAATGTAGAAACCGGAAGAAACAGGTTAACCTCACACTTCCTCCATGACAACAGCAGGGAGGTGGCTGCGAGGGCTCTGGGGATTAGAAAGAGCATGGTGTGCAGGGCTGGGGCTCCAGGAGGCACCTTGGGCTGCTGTCAGGGGCACTGTTAGAGTTTTTCCTACAACAGGTAAATCTGTGCAGGACTTGGAAAGTGGCTAGGTTCACAGAAAGCTCAGCCATTGCTGTGCCTGTTAATGGGAGTAAAATCACCGTGAGCCTTTTCTCACCTGCAGTTCCTGGTGTAGCTTGTTCCAAAGTCCCAAGGTCAGTGGAGGAGGAAGTATGCAGAGCTGTGGGAAGGTGTGAGCACAGTGTTCCTGGTGAAAACCCTGAGTTTCCTGCAGCTCAGAAAATTGAAGAAGCACAGCCGATGCAGTTGTATCATTCTGGGGAAGTAGGAGGAGCTGAGAGAGACCTTGCACAGCCGGCAGTGATTAGCTGTCAGCTGGTCACCATCACTGGTCTTTATCCCAGATAATGCCAGGAGACACAGGTCACCGGTGGCCTAGGTGCCCTCTGAGTGGCTGAGAGCCCTGGTGGAGGACAATGCACGGTGTCTGATGTCTGTGGGCCAGATGTCTCCTCTCTCCCTGCCTCCTCCATATCCCAGCATTTCCTTGTGCCAGGAAGAAATGATTGTGAACACTGAGTTTTGGAGAAGACAAATGTGAAATCTTGATTAGCTTGATTGCATATTTGAAGAGATGGTGAACTTGTTCTTACCAGTTTGGATGTAACAGAATATAGCTGGTCTCATCAAATGGAAATGAATTTCACGATGTTCACTAACATCAATGGTAGAAATTAAAGAACATTTATGAAATTTTACAATTCTGACTTGCAGGAACTTACACCATCTAAACTTTGAAGTTATCACTCCGTTAAGAATGTCTCTGTCCAACAAAAAACCAAAAAAGCAAACAAAAAAAGAATGTCTCTGTTAACACAAATAATTTTTTTTTTTGTACCATGGATTGAACTTGGGTCCTTGCACTTGCAAGGCAGACCACCAAATCACTGAGCTCAATCCCCAGCCAAACACAAATAAATATTAACAATCAAGGGGCCAAGTAAAGTCAGGAAGATATGTAGTAAGTTCATAAGCATTTAAATGTGCCTGGCCAATGCATTTGAAATAAAAGATATGAATATTGACAAACAAAAGAGAAAGTTCATTGTAGGCATTTCTAAGTCTTAAAATCTATATAGTGTGTTATTTACATACTCCGTTTGGAAGTCGGGCTTTCCACTTCTGAGATGCATTAGTCAAAGAAAACAAGCAAGAACTCACAATCCTGCAAACTAGAAAAATGAACATCTATCATTTGTAAATAAAGTTGGGAACAGAACACCCTCCTGACTCTTCAATCTCCTCCTTGTAAGGGAAAATAAAGAGAAATCCTCTCAGTTGAACATACCATTGTATTCTATCAGAATTGTGAAACACATTTTGAAGACATCCAGACAGCTGTAGAAGTAGGAATTATCAGTGATTCCTATTCATGCATAGGAATGGGATTGCTAAGCACGAAGCACACACTTTGCCTTGTGCTTCATTGATGGCAAACAGAGAGGAGTGGTTCAGGTCACTGTATTACAGAAACAATCCATTTATCAAAGGCATGTTCTGATTTTAGCTCTGCAAGTTTGCTAATGAAGGTTGTGAAATAATGTGTCACTAGCAGTCAGACACTGGGGGTCAGCTGAGATCTCCGCTAGTGGACCAAGGCTCCCATTAGCCTCCGGTCATGTCGTGGTGGTCGATGGGCAGCAGAACCTCCTTGGTGAGCAGGGCCAGGCTGGACAGGGGCAGAGCTGCAGATTCCTAGCTGGCACCCGGGCTGTCAGTTAAATGCTGGGCACCCAGGAGCCCTACACTGCCCCTGAGAATGTGCGTTAATGAGCTTCCAGCTCTCCCCAGAGCCTGTCCTGGGAGTTAACTTGGCAGTTAGCACTGGAGGATTCTACCTCCAGGTAACTCAGGTGAAGACTTTCCTGGGCCCCTTGGACTATTTGAGAAAACTCAAAACACCAAATTCCAGAGCAGACATGAAAGCTCCAGCCAGTCAAGAAATTAAATAATATCAGCAGACGAGGCTGATAATTCAGAGGACTTAGATATTTGCAAAAGGAGAGTTCAGCAGCGGTGTCTGGTGTCTGCGAGACAGGCAGAATGCTTTAGTTTATACCGATAGAAATGTAAATATCTGTACATACGTGTTTACATAAGCCCCTTGCAGTGGAGCCACAAGAATTTTAGTGCCTACTGAGTTATATATACGTACATGCAAAGACCAAAAGTAGCTGGAGAAACTATTTGAAATGACTAATGTGCTGTCTTTATAAAATATGTTAAATGTAGCTTTTTGAAACAGAAGCCTTGAATTGAAATTGAACTAATACTTGAACATTTTTTAATCTATTTCTCTGTATATAATTTCGGGCAGTACCAATGACAAACATTCTCTGTCCTAATAAAACTGGGTTTGTTGATCTTTTGGCTCAAAGAATTTATTCACCTCTAATATGATATTGGAAAGTGATGGTGAAATAGGAACAGTTACTGTTGTTATCACTGAGTATGGATCTTAAAATGATCCTGGAAGCAGTAAGTTCCTTTTCCTAAAAATTATAGCATGTTTAGAATATTTTCGTTCTAACACCAGTGTGTTTCCTGCATTATTTAAAGTCTAGGACCAAGGAAAACAGTCAAAGCTCTCTGAATTGGGATGTTTTGAGATCGCACGTACAGATTTTTAGAACGTAATTTTATAAATGGCGATTTGGGGAATAGCTGATCTAAGAACTTCTGAAAATGGAAAGATTGGTGAAACCTATGCTTAAATCTGCTTTGTTAGGTTCCTTATTTCATTAACTGTCTTCTCTCAGTTTCCATTTCATTATTTCTTTTCTAGTTTTGGAGCCTTAGTGGTTTTGTCATTTTTACATCAACTCATGTTCTGGTTTTTACATGGCAATTGCATGTATTTAGAACCTATCAAGGGTTAATATGCTCATACCTATGTGCAAGCAATTTTACTGAAATATTCGGGTTTCTGAACTTATAATGGATGTTTATTCCAGGATGTAGCAAAAAAGAATCTTAAAAGTGTCCTACTCACTATTTGTTAATTAAAAAATTATGATTAATATGAAAAAACTTCTGAACAACTGAAAGGAAATTTTAAAATTCCAGGCAATTCCAACTGTGGCTATTTGCTTCTTATGAAAATGCAGACATATCCCAGTGTTACTGTATCATTCCAGGCCAGTAATCACAGAGACAACTTGTGTTCAGTACCTACCTCCCTTACCGCACTGGGCATAATTAAAGCATTATACTGAATAGTGGCAGAGTAATGACGAAGAATACACAGAGAAAATAATTAGTCACATAATGAGATAACGCTTTGCATCCAGTAAAACTTTTTCTAAATCAAGTATTGCAATTGTCCTGGGACTTGTTAAGCTAACAAGCTGACAGATAATCTCTTGGGACACAGCGTCAGTGTTCTGTCTCCTGAGTGTCTGGGCTGTGTAATCCTGGCGAGTTCTATGAGGAACGACTCAAAGGCCAAGAAGTGATGCAAAGAGGGATCTTCTGAGACACCGAGAGGCCATGAACTGAGTGTAATTCTGGGACCGAGAAAATTAGTGGCTGCAAAGCAGCTGTAGAAGGAATACCCCAAGAA